TCTTACCTGGAATGGGTTAATCAATGTGGACCTGGCTGAAGACTTCCAATGTAACGAAGTGAGGATCGATTGGTCGAAATTTGGGGAGAAGGGGCTCAAAGCTATCTCTTCATTCGCTATCGCTGACAAACTATTCGCTTTCGTTACATCCTCCGAAATGTTGATTTATGGAAGGGATACAGTAACCCCAATCACTATCGCGAATCCACCGCTGAAGCAGATTCTAGCAGTTAGCCAGAGTAGCCAACCCTATCCTGAAAGATCCTGCTTCGAACTTCCTTCTTCCAAAGGAATCGTATTTTCAATTGTGAACGAAGGAAAAACCGGAGCCCTTCTGGAAGTCACAAAAAGCTCTTCTTCGTCTGCTTGCCTAGATGTCAGTATGCCTCAAACCCAATATGAAATATATTTCACTAGAAAGAATACCGACAAAGTGAAACATGTGAGAAGCTTCTCGGATCGAATCCACGGGGAGAATGGGATACTCGACAAGGAAACGGACTACGATGTCGCTGTTACATGGCTGAATAGATATTCTCCTGCCAGTGGCGTTTCTTCTTCAAGATCTTTTCGAACTGGATTCGGATACCCATCGGCTCCTCGTGATCCTCATGCTATCCCAGTCACTCCGGATACAGTATACCTTTACTGGAGTTTACCGGAGACACTTAACGCTCCAATTTCGGAAATTAAATATAAGATTTCTCAGCAAGCCGCAGGGATTTCTGTACCCACTTCCATTGCAGTCATTCCGCTTTCTGAAACAGTCTCCTCGAATATTTCATCAGATACAACTGCTTGTTTAATCAACCCATGTCGTGTGAAAATCGCCAATCTCCGTCCATCAAATGAATACAAATTCTGGGTCACAGCTACTCACATCTCTCACTTGGATGCTGCCACTATTCTTAAAGATGATGACGCAGTTTCTTCAGAAGCTGTCGCGAGAACTCTAGATGTACCAGGAACTTTGCGCCCTGATAATGTCACTGGATCATCCCTACTTCTTCGATGGAATGGGTTGGAGCCGGAGCATCGACCTACCTCGATTGCTATTCAATATCGAGAGTCAGGGGGTGCCAATAATGAATGGCAGTCTCCAACGAATGCATCATTTGAACCTGATGTGGCAACTGAACTTGTTCCTGTTACCAACCTTCTTTCTGCCACAACTTACGATTATCGATTCGTGGCAACATACACAGGAACATATACCATAGATGGAAAAGTGCTAGCTTTCAAAGAAGATTATCTACAGCTCATTCAGCAAGCTCGAACCAAAGCAGGAGTGCCAACAGCTCCACAGTCTGTTGAGGCAAAGATTGATACGGAGGGATGGATTGTGACGTGGAAGGAGCCCATGAGTGATGGTGGATCCCCAATTACCAGTTACGCCGTCGAGACCCGAATCAATAAAACTGCAGAGTGGGAGATCGCTGAGCGTGGATTGGATGGATGGAAGACGTGGTGGAGGCCAGGAAAATCAGAGACGTCGTCTTCGATGTCGTATTCTTCAGAAGTCTCGGAATTCAGAATCCGTGCAGCCAATATTGAGGGATTCGGAGCATACGCTTATACAGAGGAGAAGAAGGAGGAGAAGGAAGAAGAGAAGGGAGGAATTTTACCATATTTTTTGGGAATCTCCATAATTCTACTGCTAGCTGCTATGATTTTAGTTGGCTGTTTTTGGTGTAAGTTAGGTACTTCAGGTTTACAAAGAAATTCGAATAGTTTTTCAGTGAAATCTCGACGTCGTCAACAAATGAAGAAGCGTGAAGCTGAAGACGAACGAAACTGTATCCGGCTTGATGTAGTTGCCAATATGAACTTCACCAATAGTCGACAAACTTTGTCTCCAGAATATGAAAGTGAAATTCGAAGTGAGAATTTAAGTTTGACCTTAATTATCTCGGCATTTATGAGAGATATCAAAAATATGTCAACTGATAAAATGTTTGTCATAACATCACCAAAATGTTGTCTGTTGACCACTTTTTGATATATGTTACAGAAACCGAGATAAATTGAGTCAATGTTAGGACGCCTCCTGTTACAATCCGCGAGCGAAACGCCTTACATTGACACCGTTTATCTCAGAGCATTTGAATGATATCAAAAAGTGGCCAACTGATAAAATGTTAATCATAATATCATAAATGTTTTGTTAGTTGACAATTTTTATATCTTCAATAGGAGCCGAGAAAAATTAGATCAAAGTAGACGGCATATTTCTAGTAACGTATATTTTCAGACCTTCCTATTGTTGACTATAACGATGTTGAAATAGTAAGGCATATTAGTGACTGTTCCTATGGATCTGTACATGAAGGAATCGCAGAAGAAGTGCCGTTGAGTTGGGAGAAACAGGTCAAAGTTGCAGTCAAACAATTGAGACCGAAAAGTGCAAATCATGATTTCGACAGAATGATGTTCATGAAGGAAGCGATTCTGTTGAAGTAAGCTCTAACAAAGGATTATGGTCTTATAATCCTTTTTCAGCAATCTGGACCATCCAAACATTGTAAAAGAGCTTGGTGTATGTGTTTCACCCGGACAAGGACTCATTTTGCTGGAATACATGGAAGGAGGAAATCTGTTGAATTTCTTAAGAGAATCGTAAGGATCTTCAATTTCCATGTTTCCAATGAGCCCTTCAACTTTACAGAGCACCCAGCGAAATGCAAGCCTCTGAACTTTCCACAAGAGATCTTCTCGCTATCTCTGTTGACATTGCACGCGGAATGAATTATCTAGAGAGGTGGGTCGCGTTATCTAGAGAGGAGGTTCTATACGCCTTGAACCCCATCTCGTTCCCGTGCTTCCGTAGCGCAGTAGGCAGCGCGTCAGTCTCATAATCTGAAGGTCGTGAGTTCGAGCCTCACCGGGAGCAATCCTTTTTTTTTTTAATTTTTTCCTATTTTTTCAGACTTCCCCATGTTCATAAAAACCTCTCTGCTAGAAAATGCTTGCTGTCTGGACGACCCGGAGTGGCAAAACTGGAAATGGGAATGCCCCGAGCATTAAGTAAAGGAGAAATCAATCGGGTTGACTTGGAAAGCATGCAAAGTGTCAAATGGATGGCTCCAGAAGTTTTCAAAGACTTGATGTTCACATCAAAAAGCGATGTATGGGCGTATGGAGTTCTCTTGTATGAGATTTTCTCGTTTGGAGAGGAACCATATGGCAGCATGGATTCGAGAAGAGTGATTACAGATGTTAGGGATGGTAACCTAACACTTCCAGTTCCACCATATTGTCCATCGAAAAAAATATGTAAAGTCATGAAAATGTGTCTTATTAGTGATCCAAACAAAAGAGCGAGTTTCGCAACAATATTGAAAATTTTCGAAACATGTCGAGATGATCAACAAAGCCAGGTATTCATGGAATTTTATTAGCTACTTGAACCTTAAATGATTTAGGATGATAAGCGAATCCATTTCAATGAAGGATCGGATAACATAAACTTCAATGCATCCCAAGACAGTACTTCCAGTCGAGAACCTCCGTCTCCATCTCATAGAATTCGAGAATTCACTCAAATTAGTGGAGATCTCGAACCTCCATCTCCTTCTCCATTGAATCAGAGTTTCGGCGGTTTTGAGCATCCATATGGTAATGTAATAAACACTCTAATAGAGTGGCACCCAAGCGTTTTTGAAGTAAAAACTTTGATCCAATTTATTTCTGTTCATGTGAAAGATAAAGTTGTCAATTAATAAACTATTCATTGTAATATCACAAATATTTCATCAGTCGACCACTTTTCGATATCTTTCACAGAAACCGAGAAATATAGGCTCAAAGTTAGAAGACCCTTCGGTCGCGGTCTGTAACGGAAGGCGTCTTAACTTTGACTCAGTTGATCTCCGTTTCCGTAACATTAATCAAAAAGAAGTTAATTAACAAAATAATATTGATATTATGATGAACATTTCTTGAGTTGATCATTTTTTGATATCTTCCAATTGGGCTGAGATAAATTGGGTCAAAGTTAGGGGGCACTTCGGTCGCGGTCTGTAACGGAAGGCGTTTTAACTCTGATTGAATTTATCTCTGTTTCTGTAACATCCGTCAAAAAGTGATCAACTGACAAAATGTTTATCATAAAATTTTAATCATTTTGTCAGTTGACAACTTTTTGATAGCTTTCACAGGAACCGAGGTATACTTGCTCAAATTTTGGGTGCCACTCTATTAGAGTGTTTACGGCAATTTTATACTTCATTTAAATAAATTTTTTAGAAGGAGACCGTCCAGCGACAATGTGGAATGCTAGCGGAGCACGAAACTCGGCGAAAAACAGTATTGGAAGGTCCATGAAAAAAGATAAGTTCAGAAATCCAATTCACTCGATGGACGACCTGGTTGCGAGAAGTCAACGACCATTGAGTATTCATTCAGAAGATACAGAATCCACAGATTTTGGTGGAGGTTTGTCTTCTAAATTTTTTAAAATTTTCTTCACGAAACCCTGAAAAAAAGTGCATCAAAAACGCATTTTTCTCTCTCTTTTCCCATCTCCCCTGCCAGCTAAGCCCCGCCCACTTCACACACAAAGTATAGTGGGCGGCGGAACCCGGGAAGTGTCGGCCGCTGCGCTAGACTACTTCTCGCGCCGTCGCCTCTGCAGGCAAGGCCCGTGAAGAAGTAAATTACCGTCCGATAACCCATGACGCTATGAAGGCTGTAAAACAGAGGCCGATATAAAAATGAAAGAATATAAATTTTGAATAAATTTCTGAAAAGATTCTTCTGAAGAAGAACGTCTAGAGTACTGTAGTTTCAGCAACGTCATCCATGCATTCACCGAGCAGTTCGAATCGAACCAATCATTATGAACTCCCAATGAGCCGATTGAGTGCAGCACCACCCATTGGAATAGTGAATAACGCCTTCGAGAGCAGTAACAACTCCCTAAATATGAGTAGAAGTTGGACAGGTCTCGCCGGAGAGGTGAACCCGAATCCGGCGGGTGCTTCTTCAAGTGGAACTCTTCCCCACCATGCAAACTCCATGGTTCATCTCAGAGCTCCAACTGGTCAACCACCGACTAGGGTGAATCGTAATAGTTCGGGTGGTACGTGTCGAAGTGTCAGTCAGGTTTAAATACAACATGACGTACCTTATTTATTCTATTTTTTCCACCCCATCTCATTCCCCTCCAACCTATAATTTCCCCTAGTTAGGGCCCAAATTCCGTTCGAAATGTGGGTATATAAGCCTTCGATATTAATTTCCGTTTTCAGTTTATTTTTTTCTAAAAATAGTTTTTTTTCATAATAAAATTGTTTTTCTTTGCTCTTGATTTTCAAATTCGAATGTTTTTTCTAGTCGAAGATTTCGACTTTTCTTTTGAGCTCATAAATTGCGCTCTTCATCTCTGCGTCTCCTCTTCTTCCACATTCTCTTGCAGAATGAGCTACACGGAAGACGTTGTCCGCATCGGGCTCGACGACCTACACGTTTCCCCGGCAACAGAGAAAACGCCAGAAAAGGTGGAAAAGGCAGAGCCAGAACCAGAGAGGTACCTAGCACCATTTATTGATTTTTTAAAGTTTCCTCTTGCCACAGTATCTTTTAGAATCGATATTTTCAAACCAGCTAAAATGTATATGATAGAACTCAGCGAGTACTACAAAATTATATTATTTTGAAAACTGTAGCTTGTCTATGAACAAAGTTAGGAACCAAAAACCGTCCAAGCTTCGCAGTCACATCTTTAAGGTCTTGTAACTTTGTTTATAGACAAGATACAGTTTTTTGAATAGTATCATTTTGTAGTGCTTGTCAAGTTCTATCATACCCAGTTTAGTAAGTTCAAAAATATTGATTCTAAAAGATACTACGGTAGAACACGCGAAGGACCGGCAAACGCCCGTTTTATAAGCATCATTTCCTCCTATTCAGAACAATAATGTCAAACCAAGGAATCACTTTGGAGGAAAAGTTGTGGGTCGACGAGTGCTACTTGTTTCAGGTTTTTCAGTTTTTTATTATTACTTAAAACAAAACCTTGTTCCAGGACGAAGGTCTCGCTCCAATCTTCTGCAAGCCAAAACTCATCCCACTCAAAACAATCACCACCCAGAAGCTTGAGCAAATGCAAAAGGAGCAAATGGAGAAGCTGCAGGTTCCGGAAGCGAAACCAGAAAGAACGGTAAGAAAAAAAATTAAAAAAATTGCATCGACCGGGAATCGAACCCGGGCCGCCCGCGTGGCAGGCGAGCATTCTACCACTGAACCACCGATGCGTCGTTTGAAATCACAGTCGTGGTTTGTATACATTGCGCGTGGTCACGAGGCATGTTGTGTGGATGTTGGGAAAACGCTTCCATTTCCAGGGCACATCAGAAACCATCGAATCCGGTTCGGAGAAAGAGGATAATGATCAACAAGGACCTTCAACTTCAGAGCCGAAGAAAGAGGCGGATGTCTGGACAGCAGATGACTAAAAAGAACAAGAACTCGTAAAAAAACTTTAATTTGTACAGTAATTGACCGTAAATACTCTAATGAGACGTCAGTCAACTTCAAGCCCATATATCTTAATTCCTGTAAAAGATACAAAAAAGCGGTCAACTGACAAAATATTTATTATGAAATGAGCAATATTTTGTTTGTTGACCACTTTTTGATATCTTTTACATGAACCGAGATAAATCGGCGCAAAGTTAAAAGTAAGGGGTAGCGTTCTATTAGAGTGTTTACGGTACATAATTTTATAATTAATTTGAAATAAAATGATAAGAATCATAAGAAGGTGGGGTTGTGTCATTAATATTGTAACCAATATTTGAGTTCATTTGACCTAAATCATTATTATTATACTCCATATAATTTTGTTGCTGTTGGTGGAGTTGGCTCTCTGCCAATTGATTCCGGATGTATCGTATTTGAGAGTTGGAAGATGTGGGACCTGAAAAAATATTTTTCTCAAAATTCCGTTCATATGAGATCCCCGAGGAATTGAACTTGTGGGTCGACAATTGAAGGTGCCGAGCCGGTACCAGTTGAGCTCCTTACTTTAGCAAAATTATCTCCGTGTCAAAGATATGAAAAATTGGTCAACTGATAAAATGTTTATCATAATGTAAAAAAAATTTTATCAGTTGACAAAATTTTGATATCTTGCATAGGAATTGAGATAATTGAGCGCAAACTTTATCCTTACCATTCGCTCCAGCCTTGTTCCTCAAAATTCGACTAATACTGCTTACAGACGGCAAGTTCGCTCTATCACAAATATCCGCAGAGATCAAACGATCGCGTATCTCCCATGCAAATATTCCGGGATCCGCTCTTTTCAGGCTTCTGATGTATTCAACAACTTTTGGAGTTGTGACTCTTGGTCGGGATCCTCCAATCGTTCCAGGCATTATAGATCCGTTTTCCGAGAAACGAGTCAAGATTTTTGAAACGCACCCGTGGCTGATTTTTAGTTGACGGGATATGTCGCCTGAAAAAAGATTAAGTGCTATAAATACCGTAACCACTCCAATAGAAGACTACCGTATACTTTCATTTTGAGCTCAATTATCTCGGTTCCTATAAGACATATTAACAATATGTAAACTGGTAAAATATTGGTGATAATATAAAAACAATCCATCAGCTGTTAATTTGTTGATATTTTTCCCAGGAATCGAGATAATTAAGCTCAAAGTGCAAGGTGGTCTCCTAACTTACATGGCCGAGTTCCTTGTCTGGCGAGCTCAACGATCTTGCATCTCATCTCAATTGGAAGTGGTCTTCCGTTCACAAAAACTCCACCCAACTGGTTGATTTCTGCAGTTTTTGGAGGAGAGTTTGTCGGTGCTAAAAAGACAAATAATCAGGATATTCAGGTTACCTCATACCGTATCCAGCAACATATTGCTGAGCTTCTGGAGTCGTTGACGTCGACGTTGGAGAAGTCCAGAAGACATCCGATGGATATAGGAGGACATCATCCACGGTTGAGCTGCGTCGCAATTCATGCTCGAGCGAGTGTGACTGTGCTGAGCTGGGTCCCAAAACTAACTGGTCCGTGGCGGCCGCCACCACCGCGGAATCTTAATCTCTTCCACCGCTCCGCCCATTATCGTCTTTGGTGAGACAAACAGAAGCTGATTTGTTGGTATGTGAGGTATTTGTTGAGCTAGTACCACCAGCCTGGTAAGAAACAGAAAGGAAGCTAAAAGAAACAAATAATAGGTAGTTCAGTGGGAAGATCAGAAGGAGAAGAAGTCGGGAATCTGAAAATTCTGGAATTCTGGAATTGGAAAACGTTTCAATTGTTCTGTGTTTCAATTTGCCCGGTTTTCCTGAAATAAGCCCAGTGTTTTTTTCTGGAACATTTTTAATCATAATTTTTCCCGTGTTGTCTCAATGGAATGCAGGCACAAAACCGTAAGACTCTGCAGTTCAATTTGAAGCTTTCGTGTCGAGACCAACGAAAACTTCTAAAATTAACGTTCGAGCGCATTTACATGATGTTCCGAAGAGATGCCGCGCTCATTATTACTTTTTGATGTCAAAGGAATTCGAGAGGTCCGGTCACGAAATTCTTAAAGGCGCAACCAAAGGAACATGTATTACGAATTTTCGATAAATTTTATCGGTTCTTCAATAATTTTCATTGTTTTTATGAATTTTTTTCTATTTTTTGGATTCTTGTTTGCAAAAATTTAAATTTTTTCAAAATCTAATTCAAAATTTTCTGTGATTTGTCGGATTTTGGGGGAAAAATAGTTAAAAATCAATGAGATTCATCGAAAAATGGAAAAAGGGCAAGAACATAATGGTTTTACGTTACTGTAGTTGTCGCTGTGGGACCTTGGGCCACGTCTAGCCTCATTTCTCCTCCACGGCCTCGCGGAAGAGAACCTAGATTTAAAAATTGGAAAGCGCGCCAAGTTTGGACGCGTAGCGCGATCGCGTCGCGGCTTTTCGGTGAGTAGCGACTCAACAACGCTTAACTTCACGTTTTTTTCAAAACACGTTTCAAAATTTTTGAATGTGGCACGCAGCCAACTTTTGTGTGCGACGAAGCGCGCGTTTTTCAGGTTCCAAACCGCGATGCCGTGCTCCTCCACAACTTCGATTTTTTTGTACCATCATAATACCAGCTCAGAATTACCAATTTTTTCAGTTCTGTTTAATTTTTTTCAGTTCTGTTTTTTTTCAGTTCCTTTTCCAATGTTTTCTGCTTCTAATTCTCTTCCAATTACGCAAGAAACCACTTGACAAACGCCTAATAATATACAGTATCACTTGTATTTGTACTGACCTAATTGTACATATATATATATATATCTCATAAATCTCTTTTCAAATATGTACCAACGGATGTGCACTGCACATTGTTTCGCGCATACACTGATCCCATTCCTTGTCAAATTATCTCCAAATTATAATTTTCTCCAAAAAGGGATTGGCAAGTTCTTGGCTGACGAGCTAAATGGTTGGCACAACTCGTTAATGCCATTGTTTGCACTACATGCTACTTTTTTAGGTCGGAAAAAGCCAAAAGGACAGTGGCGGCGGTAAGGTGTCCCCATCTACTTACCGCCATACCGCTATTTGAATATGGGATTTTGTATTGTGTTTCGCGTGAGAATCTGTTGGGTGGGAAAAGAGTCAAAAAAGAGCAAAACGAGATAAAATAGGTCTAGAAGCTCCATTCAATTTATACGATACTTAGTACACCTGGATGCTGATGAGAGAAGAAATAGGAGGAGAAGGGATAAACTGGGTTTGGAGCAGCAGCACAAAGCGAAAAGGGAAACATACGCGATACAGTACTTTCACGGGAACCTAATAACAATTTACACTCGAAAATAGTAATAAGGCGAATTTTAAACAAGTAATGTCGTCGTCTCTAATAGTAGTGGTGAATAGTAAAAGACGAGTGGGGAAAAAACTTAAAAATTGAGAGAAATGAAACAAAAATAAAGAGGATAGGAGAGTTAGTAGCCGTATGGAATACGGTTCTAAAAAGGGGATATGGGGGAATGGAAAGACGAGAAAGACATGTAGAGTCATTTTAATGAGCGAAATTTAAAAAAAGAAAAGGAGAGAAAATCTATTTATTGGTTACTGCTCGAATTGTTACGGGACGACGTCTTGGTGAGCGTTTGAAGGAACTTTTGAACTTCGATCTCTTCGTTTTCTTGCATTTCCTTGATCCATGAGTGAGCCATAATGTCGTTCAGAGGAAGCCGCTCGCTGGGCTCTTTCTTGATTATCGCGTTTATCAAGCTGCCCGCTCCGTCACTCACTGTGCTTGGGATCTGGAAAAATGACAGTTTGTGGTGGAGAATTTGAAGGAGCGAGAGAATTGTCCCGAGGAGAAAAGGAACCAGTTCGCATTGGAAGCAAACCAGCACACGCATCTCGAGCTAGGCTTATATAGCAGTTCTCTAACGACCTCTGACCGGAAAATTTACGGTCAGCAGTCGAAAACCATGAGAGAAACTGCACAACAAGTGAAGCTAAATCCAAAAACTTACATAGATTTTGCACTCCTTGATTCTGGCGATCAACTTGTCTCCAGTCTGGTTGGCGAATGGAGCGAATCCGACGAGCATCTCAAACAGGAGAATTCCAATGGCCCAGATGTCGACATTGAAATCGTGCGGTTGATTCGAAACCATCTCCGGGGCCAGGTAGTCCATCGTTCCACAGAGGGTGTGTCGTTTTGAGTGATCCGCGACCACTGACCATCCAAAGTCAGCGAGCTGTAAAATTTTAGTTTTTTTTGGGTGTTTCTTGTGTCGGGGCAGGCTTTGGATGCATGTAGTGCCAGCTCGCGACCGCCACGCCGACACGCGACGCGTCCAAACTTGGATTGGCGCTAAATTTGAGTCTAGGTTCCCATTTGCCGGTTTTTTTTTTCAATTTTACGACGTACAGCGCATTTATAGAATACGGTGTCGTAAGGTAAAATTCTGTGTACGCAAACACTCTGACGCGCAAATGCAGTAAATTCGTGCGGCGCGCCGGCCGAATGGACGCGTTCATCACGAGCGAAGCTCAGGAGAGCGTTGCTAAGTTAGTGGCGATCGCAAACTATGAATTTCGAGCTAGTTGGCTATTCACCTTAAGATTGAGCTTCGAGTCGAGGAGAAGATTTTCTGGCTTGATGTCTCTGTGAATGACTCCTTTCGAGTGGCAGTACTTCAATGCGTTGGCGAGTTGTCGAACGAATCTAAACGATTGATTTATACGATTCAATTCAAATCGAATGAAACAAAGTACCTGGCCGCAATGACCTCGGAAACTTTGTGTCCCTGTTGCGCCTGGAGGACATTGAACAGCTCTCCTCGGCTGGCGTAGTCGAGTATGACGAACACACGCTTGTCATCGTGGAAGTATCCGTAGAGCGTGAGAATGTTCGGGTGACTGAAAATGTTCGCTTTAGAATAGCCAAGGAGCTGACAACTTACCGCAAATGATACTGGATTTCGATTTCTCGCTTCAACTGATGACTGACACCGAGCTGAAGGAGCTGGGATTTGAAGAGCACTTTCAGCGCGATGATCCTTTTTGTTTTCTTCTCACGAGAAATGAAGACGTTGCCGAATTTTCCCTTTCCAAGCGGCCGACCGACATCGAAATCATCGAGGCTCCAACTGAAAGAAAAACAGTTATCGACATGAAACGAAACTTTCGCTATTACCATGTCTCTTCCTTTGCTTGCATTTTGTGAGGTTTGCGGTCTTCAGTTAGAGAGATAACCTAGAATTGTAAAATTATCGATGTGCTTCTGTAAACTGCGAGTGTACCTCGGCTCTCTGGTCGTCTGTTTCTACGGGCGCGGAATTCTCTTTGCCGTTCATCTTTGATTGCAGCGCCTGCGAGTTTTTGAATAATTATAGCGAGAAAATGGGAAATGTCCGAAAATTTCGGCGAAAATTCAGAAGAGAAGAGAGAAGAAAGAGCAAATGAACGGCAAGAAATGCGAGAAAATTCGACGCGTTTGAACCGATTTTCGATTGGCGGGCTGTTGTCAGTCACCACTAAACAACGCGCGCATGTGGAATAGCGGAGCATCGTTGTGACACGCTGGCAAATCAAGCAGGTTTGAATTCAGAATATTCACTGAATTCTTCGGAACTTTTTCTGAATTTCCCCTGAAATTCTTTTCGGAAAATCAAATAAATCTAATAAAAATGTCGGTGATAGACAAACCTTCATCTGCAGTAAACCCGTTACGGGAAAAAGTGATGAGCGCATGTTCAAAGAAGCTATATAACGACAAGGTCAGCTAAACATACTAAAGAAAATAGAAAACAAGAATTTTTATGTTCAGGATTGCATTAAAATAGCCGACTTTATGACTCCACTGGTAGACGACATGAATCTGGATTCAAATCTCGACAGAAAACTGCACAATAAGCTGGAAAAATACGAGTTGCGATTGAATAAAGAGTATCTCAGCGAGTTTGAGAAGGTAGTTAGAATGAAATGGCTTGGAAAAAAGCAATCTTAAAAATTCAGATTAACAGCATCGTTCAAAAGTTCGACGAGCTATGTGTCAAGATGAATTCGACCTGCACAAACTTGTCGAAACAGATGGAAACTGTAAAATTCAAGAGCGTGGATCTGGTTCAAAAGACAGCGAATTTGAAAGAAAAGAAAGCAAGTATAGAGACAAGATGCAACGCGATCAACGAGTTTCTCGAGAATCATTCCTTGACTGCTGAAGAGTTGCGAGAGCTAGAAGAGTGTGAACAAACCGGACATCTCTCGGAGTTCTTCTTCAAGGTGCTTGAAAGATGTCACGAGATTCGAGAAAATTGTCGGAATATGGTTCAGGAGCAAGGCCATCTAGCAGCATTCGAAGTTATGGAGAAGATGCAGAAAATTGATGAGAGAAGCCACGCGATTATCTGTAATAATCTGAAGAGAGAATTCCAAAATCTGACAGTGGATTCTCATCAGAAAAAACAAATTCTTTCGAAGGCATTTAAGATCATTCAACAAAACGATGCGGTTTTCCAGCTAGCTATAGGTATTTTTTGACTTCCCGTTGAAATTTGAAATTAATTTTTTCCTTCTTTTCAGATCAATATATCTCCTCCCGCTCACAAGACCTGCTCAATCAATTCGTCGAGATTAACAAAATGGCTGTTCAAATGCCAGAAGGCCTTGCAGAACCCCTGAAAGCTGTCGGAGACATGCTCACCTCGATTCATGAGCTCACCGAGCAAGAGAAGCAGCTGTTCAGTTCAATCTGCACTTCTGAAAATATGCCAGCTGTTCTAGATGAGTGTCTGAAGTCTCTGACGTCTCCGTTTAAGGTGAAACTCTACTTTCCGAAATTAAAATCTAAAATCGCTTTCAGATCCGTGTCGAACAGCTACTATCCACTGAAAAAGATGCCGTGACCATTTTCAAAATGGGAAACATTCTAATTTTCTACGCTGACAAGTTCGAGACTCTTATCCGAAAGGACAGTCACTTCACGCAGATGCTTGTGGAGCTTGTGAAGACTGTTCGTCAAGTGTGCATCGCAGGAATCAACCACCACGTGGATGGGCTGATGAGAAAGATGACTGCACCTCACTACGATCTCCTTCCGGTCCCAGAAGTCCGACAATGTCTATCTCTTTACCATGGTCTCATCTCCATCGCCATCAAAACCGGAGATCTAATCCTGCTTCTGGAGCCAGAAAGAATCTATGAATACGTTTTGGAGCCTCTGATTCGAACTGTTCAACTAAGTGCCACTAGGCTGAAATCGGATGTTGATGTCTCCGTGTTCACTATCAATTGTCTAACAGTCATTAGAAGCGCCATCTCAGAAATCTCAGCGTTCAAAAAGAAAATCGAAATGATCGACGCTATGATCGAAGGAAATTCTGATGTATTGGTGTCGGTGCAAGTGTCGGAAATGCTGGAGAAATCTGGAATTCTAGAGTTGTATCAAAAGTTCATGGCAGTGTGTCCAGAAGAGAAAAAACCGCTTTCGACTCTTCCTGGCCTCGAATCCATTACTGTTGGCGATGCTCTCGTTAAGTTCACACAATTCCTTCATCTCAATGCTGCCTCTGACCACACTTATGATCTCGATCAGCAAATTTTGGCTTCAGAAGAACGGTAACTTCCCAGAGTCTTATTTCAGAGAAATATTATTGCTTTTCAGTCAAAAAATCCGCGAGCGAAACACGCTGGAATTCATCAAAGTCTACAAAATGATCGTCGATCATCTGGGAAATCCAGCGAACGCGTATGAGAATCTCCACTATCTTCCAATTGAAAACGTGGAAAGTCTTCTGAAATTCGAGAAAGAGAAGGATAAATTCGCCTCTGAATCCACCGCCTAATCATGTTTGTATTTAAGTAATTTATTCGAATTTATTGCCTTTTTTTTCTATGTAATATTTCACTTAACTGTTTCCTTTCTTTTTTCTGTTTCTCGGTTCTAACCTTTGGGTTTTTAATGTGATATAGCAAGTGCAATTAATTATGGTTTTTTTTTTGTTTTTTTTTTTGAATTTTCTTCGTTTTCAACTCTCTAGTTGTAAATTGAAATTCCAGATGCTTGACGAAGGAGAGGAACTGCATACCAACCCGCCAAATAGCTCAATTAAAATTCCTTTCTTTCAATTTTTTTTCTTCTTTTCCTCTCAAAAATATCTAGCGAAGTGAATTGAATTGAAAAAAAGAAGAAAAAAGAAGACACCTCTCAAACATAGGAAACGAAGTGAAGAAAGAGTAAGAGGGAAATAGTATGAGCAATGCGGAGTGCGTCTGGTGCATCATCACCCTCCCTCCTCCAAAATCGATCCGGACTCGCTCCGTGGTCTGCACAACATCACATTCTCTTCATTTTTCTTTGTTCCCTTCCAGAAGTTTCCTCAAAGAACTTCCGGTCA